TATATATATAGTTTTGTATATATATATATATATATAAAGTTTTGTATTTTATGTAGCCCTACAATGGGGATTATGTTAATATATTCCAATTATTGAGTAAAAATCTTAATTGGTGACCACTAATTATTTACGTCATTGGTAGTTATTACCTGTTCAACGCACAATATTCGTCACAGTATGTTTCGGGATCGATGTAATATGCAAGGGGATCACGATTACCTATGAGGTTCGTGATAGCGCCCTCTATTTACTTTTCTTACTTTATACTGTAGGTATTAAATTTATCAAAATCCTATACCGTAATACCTCAAATTGAAGCCCACTGGGCCTAATCTCGAGATGAAGCCCATCTCGAATTGAAGCGTCCCCCCTCCTTTTTTTGTTTTGCAAAAAAAGTTTGCAAAATTAGCCTCGAAAAGAAGCCCATCTCAGAAGGAAGGCCATGGGCCTTCTTTTCAGGATAGCATAGGCTTCTTTTTGAGATATAAGTCATATACACTGTACATGAATTTCAGAAAACAAAGTAAATTAAATACAAGCTTGGTTTATACAGTAATTTAGGTGATTTAATACCAGTTAAATACACTCCATGATACAGATTTATGTGACTAGGCCTAAGTTTCATAGTTCAAATTCAAAAGAAGCCCCCTCTTTGCAAAAGTAGTCTCTTAAGAAGCCCATCCATCAAAGTTCGCAAAGAACGCACAGGGCTTCAATTCGAGGTTTTACTGAATAGTAGGCCCATATTAATTGCTAAATATCCTAATTCATTTTGTATTTTATGTAGGCCAACAATGGGTACTATATTAATAAATTCCAATTATTGAGTAAATGTTTTAAATTGTAACCACTACCTATTTGCGTCATTGGCAGTTTTAAATGTGCCTGTGCACAGTTTATTAGTTATTGGATGTTTTGGGATCGCGATTGACTATGTGGTTCGTAATAGAGCTGTTAGCGCCCTCTAATGTTATTTATTTTGTACCAATTATTAAATTTATCAAAATATTATAATACAGTAGGCCCAAAATATTATAATACAGTAGGCTAAATGTCCTAATTTATGTTGGGTTTTACTGAAATAAAACTGTCGGGATAAATGCTTGATAATAATATGCTTCTTGCTTGTATGTTCATCGGGGTAGTATGGTAGTACAGTATTCTTCAGCAAACGAAACAGTTGCAACAGTAAGGTACAGTATTGCACTTCTGACGGAGTTTAAGAACAGCCAGTGATGTACTTGTGTCCTCCGGTATAGACACATGCTCTAATTACACCTCGTCCTTTGGATGAAACGGTGAGTTGTTTGATCCCACGTGCATAATGATAGGAAATGTATTCAAAACGAACTCTAGTACAGTATTTGAAAATAGTGTATTTCGCGGTGTACTGTTGGACTGCTGGACTACTCTACCTCTGAGGTCTAATCCGAATTCCTTGACATTCCTGCTGTATGCTTCATAAAATTATACTATCATTCATTTTAACAAAGTTTCGGAATAGTGTTGATTTTAAATCTAGTTTATCCTGCCCCTATGTTCGTATTTTTTTTCTTTCGGTATAGACATGCCAATTTTCGCCGGAGATTTTTTTTTGTATGTAGGTCTAATCATTCAATCATCTGACAATCGAACTAAAGTATTCCACATATTATCCAATGTAGCTTGGCCTACTTGCCGTGGTTTTGTAGCTTTTTTGTATAAAGTCGAGAAATTGAAAAATGAATGTTTTGATTACATCTTAATTTAAGTAGGCCTGTCGACCACAAGGTACGTTTTTCCCATCTAGACCTAAATTTGTGTTAAAGAATGGATGACTATAACAGCACAGGAAGTCGACTTACGACGTAAACAAAACATGCTGATTGGAAGAAATACAACCAATGTTTAGGGAAATGTCTAATCCTTAAAAAATTGTTATTTTAAACTTTTTTAACTTCCGTGAATATTTCAGAGTTGTTTTTTTTTTTCTTTCTTTGTCAGATTGCTCTTCTGTTACGTTGTAATTTATACTATTCATTGCATTATTCCGCTTGATTCTGGGTTTTTCCCCATGCCTTAAAACTTTAAATTAATATATTAATTAATAACAATTAATTCTCGGAATTTCGATATGAGTGCTTCGGTGAAGATGGTTGAGGTGTGCTGTTTGAGGCGTCGAGATGGTCTCGGCTACTCATCGGGTCTTGTGTCAGTTGTAGGAATTGAGTTATTGTTATTTTTTTATTCCATTTCTTTTGTCTATGTTTTCTTTAGGATGCATTGTGCCACTGTTACAAAAGTGTCGTTCAAAATGAATTATTATTACATTATTATATATAAAATTAAAATTAAGAGAAATCAGGAGGGTGAGATGACGCTACTTTTTTTCGGCTAATAAAATGGTTTAGAGAGTTAAAAGAATAATATAGCAGTATATGTTGCATTTGTTTTCGACGCACTCGTTTTCTTGTTTACGTTCACCCCTCTAAAAAAGTTCAGAATAAAGTTTTAGTAGGTCATTATCTTCCCATGCGTGTCATTCAGAGATCAGTGAGTACTGCGCAGTGAGTCAGAAAGCATGTGAGTAGGCCTACTTGTCCAGGAGCTGAGATAATAGTACGTTTGAGGTACTAACATAAAGGAAGTTTTCCATATTTTGTTAATTGTAAGTAAGTGCCTATCTAAGTGGTAGTGGAGTAGCATGCCTATAAGGAACCCTTAAATATAAGGGGACAAAACTGTTCTACTGCGCTTAAAACAGGTCCATTTGATAGGAGTTGATCAAACGTATAAGAATGTATGCATTTGGCATCTAAATACATCGTTTTTATAGCTCAATTCCGGCCTTCAACATTGTGCCACTGTTACAAAAGTGTCGTTCCAAATGAATTATTATTACATTATTATATATAAAATTAAAATTAAGAGAAATCAGAAGGGTGAGATGACGCTACTTTTTCGGCTAATAAAATGGTTTAGAGAGTTAAAAAAATAATATAGCAGTATATGTTGCATTTGTTTTCGACGCATTCGTTTTCTTGTTTACGTTCACCCCTCTAAAAAAGTTCAGAATAAAGTTTTAGTAGGTCATTATCTTCCCATGCGTGTCATTCAGAGATCAGTGAGTACTGCGCAGTGAGTCAGAAAGCATGTGAGTAGGCCTACTTGTCCAGGAGCTGAGATAATAGTACGTTTGAGGTACTAACATAAAGGAAGTTTTCCATATTTTGTTAATTGTAAGTAAGTGCCTATCTAAGTGGTAGTGGGGTAGCATGCCTATAAGGAACCCTTAAATATAAGGGGACAAAACTGTTCTACTGCACTTAAAACAGGTCCATTTGATAGGAGTTGATCAAACGTATAAGAATGTATGCATTTGGCATCTAAATACATCGTTTTTATAGCTCAATTCCGGCCTTCAAGGATTTTAAGTTACTTTATGATCCCAAGAGAGCCAGGCATTCGGAACTGTCATTGTGATTGTACGTTTAATCGATCCAGAATTCTCTGTATTTTTTGTAGGTCTTGTTTTCGTGTGCAAACCTGTTACGTGTATTGGTACGTTTTTCAATTAAAATTCGGCCTGACCTCGACACTCTAGAAGAAAATAAATACTGGGATTAAAAGTGTGACCTACGTGATTTGCCAGTCCTGTATGTTTTCCCCACTTGCTTTCTTTGATTAGGTAGGTTAATGATTTGCTTTATACTGTTATCAAATAATATGGAAGTGTTAGAGACTGAATATGTGGCTTAAAAGCATTAACGACATAGGTCTCGAATAAAGTTGAACTATAAATAAAATAACTAGGCCTAGCTGAAGTGCTTACGAGGCCATGTAGCCTACTATTTTAGCAAGGTAGCCTATGGACTTTGAATTCAAAAATGAAAACAATAAACTCTTTCGCTAATTAACAGATGTTTGTAGGGGCCCTAATATTAATATTTATTTTCTATGCGCAGATGATCTGCATATTAATATGTTACAGTTGGCAGCGTTATTTGGGCAGTAATTTGTTCACCGCATACTCACCCGGTTTCCATTAATTTCAAAGAGTGGGGGGGGTGTGGAGAGAAGCAATTAAGATGCCCAAGAACAAACACAGATAACCACTACAGACTCCAAAATGATCTCTCGATTAGAAACCATCCATGTCAAATTGTTGATGTTCTTTCTGAATAAATAAATAAACACTTGCATATATAAACCGAGCAATCAATTAGACCTAAGACTTTGGTATTTTTTTTCTCTCGTTGACTAATGGTCATTTATTTAAATTCTTTCATTTGAGAAACATTGTATTGAATTTACATTCTTTCTTTCAGTTTTCCGTTGAGGTAACATATAATAAATTTATAATATATTTTTAATCTTTAAAACATACAGTCACATAAAGTAAAATAGATGAAATTACTTAAGCACGGCATAAAAAATTGTATAATAGATTTGACAATGTTTTGTTCACCTTTACGTGTATTAAACATTGTTTTACAAAAATTAGCAAAACAATCAATTTGTTATATTATGTTATTTCTACGTTCTTTTTTATTGGCTCAAAATACAATCGAGTTATTGATTTCATCTATAAAATCGATTTCTTTGTTACACTTTCTTGATTGATATTCACATGTTTACAATGATAGAACAATATGCAAATAATCGTCAATAGTGCCATAAAGGGGTGAGGAGTTAGCTTGAATTTAAATAGCATCCCTTTACCACATTAGATAATAAATTTAAATTTACTTTAAATTAAATGTGACAATGCCAGAAAGGATACATCGCATAAAACACAGTGTTTTACCATCAATATGGATGTCCTAATTACCCCAAATTATTTTTTTCTCTCGTTGAGCGATGGTCATTTATACAGAATCACATAATACATCATAATTATTCAGTATCACATAATACATCATAATAAAAAAAAACAATATGTTAATTACTATATGAAATACTGAATGTCAAGTTAACTGTAAAATAATAGTCATTCATATACCGTAAAAATAATCTGAATGTAATTAACAAATATTTATAATGTTAATATTTACTTGCAATTACATATCAAATGTATTATATCAATTATTTATACTCTATGCAGTTATTCAAGCCTTAGTAGTACAACTGTCTTGTACCATTATTTTCTGATATTTTGTAGTAAAAATAGGCCTAATTATATTATATATCAATAATTAAATCCTTAAATTTGCTAGCCTTTGCTATTAGCTAATATAATTCTTTTATGTAATTTGCTTCTATATTTAAGCTCGGCATAAAAGATTGGTATAATAGGTTTTGATAATTTTAGCCATGCTTTATAAATTACAAAGGCTCCAAGGTCATAAATTAATGTACAGTATTGTATTTGTCCTTTATATTGTGAATTTTCGTAGTTTGTAATTTAAATATATCATTTCGAATAGTAATTGATAACTTGTTACCATAGAATGTAAGCCTATTTTTATAGGACTTGACATCATAGCAATAACAAATATTACACTTTTATTATTATTAATATTTTATTTTATTGATATTATATCACATGAAATAAGATATTTAAAAATAAGTTTGAATGACTGGTCCGGTTACTGCATACCGTAACTCTTGGCGAGGAAAAAAAAACCCCTGCTTTAGAAGGATGATTAATTTAACATCTGCATGCCAACATGTTTATGAAGCCAATTTTATATATACAATAACCGTCAAAATATCCAGGTGAAACGGTGCTGCGGTTTACCAAAAGTTTAAGTACTGAGCCATTCCTGTTCGAAAGTGGGTGGGTTCAACGCTGGTATACTTAAAATTAAATTTAATGTTTTGCTCCAAATGTTTTCCCCAACATTGCCATGAAGAACAGTAAAGTTGTCGAGAAGACAGTGAAAGCTATGGTAAGGTAACCTCGAATGTATCCCACACTAATATAATATGCAAACAACAGTCAAGTAACAGCATCAATGCTATCAACAGTAAAGTTGTTTTACACATTTTGAGCACGCTTGAAAAATAAACAGAAAGAGACGATTATTTCACGTAGACCCATGCTCTTTGCAAAATTAATGTACTATAATCTGAATTGTTAACGCCTTAAAGAGGCGCTTCATCTTCAGCCTGATATAATTTGTTAATCAGTACCTTCACATCTTCGCTTTGGTAAGAAAAATACTTTTTGTGGCAATATTGAAGCCCTAAGTAAATTTTATTTTATTTATTTAATTCAGCTTAAGGTACTAGGGTCAAGGATATGCTAAACAGTTTAACGTATAATCACTCTTCAGAGACTGGCAATTATGTCACAAGACAAACATAATACACAAACGATGCTGTGTAGACTAAAACTCATGAGGCTTAGGGAGTGGGGTTCATTTGGCCGTGAGAAAAATCCTGTAACCGTAACAGGAATTAAACCCAGGGCCCTGTGCACTCAAAGATGAATTTAAATTGCCTTGCACTCCAACATAATTATTGCTGGCCTATCCACCAATTACGCATGACCTTCTGTGCTGAAAATTGAACCCTCCCCCACCCCAAATCTCATCGTTATTTGTTTCTATGCGGGCTTGATAAGGTAATAATTGTGGTTTTATTGTGAATTACAATTAAAGCCCACACTAAATCTTTACATTGTTTTATTCCAACTAGCCTTTTTATTGTGCATGTGTACTCCGGTCACCGTGGCCAAAGTAACTTTGCTAATGCACTAGGAATTTTAAGCACACTCAACTGCAGATAGCCCTAATAAACTTACTCAGATGACAAACTACCAAATAAGCCAAAAGTGTGATGTCATCTCATATCCATTGCCTGACATCATGCGAATTAACAATAACAACACACATTGTCACGATTTTGCTGAAACATTTATACAGGGTCAACCGTATGACCTGATTTTACCTGGTTATTCAAAGGAGGCTATGTATCGCTGGCTATAGATTGCCTCCTGGTTATACCACGGAAGATGAAATTATTAGAATTTTACATTTCATTAGCCTATCAGTTAGCAAGACACTGTAGGCCCGATGATGAGTTTGTGATTATCTATGTTAGCATATGGGTCACTTGGCAGTGAGGTATAAGCAGATTTGATCTAGAAACTTGATTCACTCTGGAACAATCGATATTCGAAAGGAAATTCTCCTTGAATGAATTATTTTAAAGCAATTGTCCTGACCTTCAACCTGACAAATTATAAGTATTTGTAATAGTTTTGACTGTACGGTTTGTTTTTATAGTTTGGCGAATTTGGTCTTTACAATTAAAACACTTTTGTTTAATAGGTTATATGAAGGTTCCGGGCACTGGACCTGTTAGTTAGAGGTTCATGTTTTTTTTGTTTTTTTTTTGTTTTTTTTTGGCTGGATTTTTCTTCAGTTCAAACTTTTTATCACACAATATATACAATAAATAGATAAATAATAATAACAGTTCTCGAATAGTAACGTAAGATGCTGTGTCAAGCATAGCCTTTTAACCAAAAGTCCATTGATAATATGTATGCCTATTTGTTTACGTCATTATATATATATATAGCTCTCAACATTCGATGAGAGCTATGCCTGTCTCTTATACACATCTAGATGTGTATAAGAGACAGATTAATATGTTACAGTTGGCAGCGTTATTTGGGCAGTAAATTGTTCACCGCATACTCACCCGGTTTCCATTAATTTCAAAGAGGGGGGGGGGGGTGTGGAGAGAAGCAATTAAGATGCCCAAGAACAAACACAGATAACCACTACAGACTCCAAAATGATCTCTCGATTAGAAACCAGCCATGTCAAATCGTTGATGTTCTTTCCCCTACAGCAAACCGGACGTTAGCAACGACGGAAGGTATATAGACAGCTGTTTCTTATCAACACTTGGGCTTCTGAAGTGGATTGAGCAGAGCGATATTTACTAATTTCATAATATATTTTCATTCAATTTTAATTTTAATTGATTGGATTAATATATAACAAAATCACATATAGCCATAAAGGTTACCATACTCTAGGCCTAAAAATGGTCATAATGATGAAAAATATAAATTAATAATAATAATAATAATAACAATAATTACCATCGTGACCGACCCCTCCCCGTCTACTTTAGCTGGGCGTGACCCACCTTGCTGTCCACGTGTTTCGTATGAGGATAAGATTACTCCTGGTGTGAAACACACCAAGGCCCAACCCCATAAGTCCAAAGGCATTCAGTGAATACTGAAGTAAGGCATTATTTTTCTAACATAAAATAAACAATACTTCCTAATGCATGAAGGTATGCTTGGATAATGCAATCCAAGAGCATTGATGATATACGATTCTTAAAATAACGTTTCGTAGAAATTACATTTGGCTTTAGTCACAAACAGAATCAATAGTTTTTCCAATTGTTACAGTATTTCTTTTTTGTTGGTACTGTATTTTGGTTTATAGTGAGGCATGAGGTGTAGAACCGAAAAACTTACAACGACCACACAGTACATTCAGGTAATTGTCAACATTGTTGTTTGTTGTGGCGTGGCTGACAAATCAGGTGAGGCAACTCATAGGCCTATATCAAAACGCGTATAATTTAAACATCGTACATGCATTGGTAAACCACCAGTGGCAGCGCCAGCGGGGACAGGGGAATTTCATACAGATAATTTTCTTCTCCCAATCCCCCCACCACAGCCCCCCCCCCCCCCCAAAACCACACACACCCCACAGCCCCCCCCCCCCAAAAAAAAGAAGAAAAACCACAATTCGTAGGGGAGAAGAAAAAATATATATTTTTTACTCTATCTATAAAATTGATTTAATAAGCCTCTGAAACCCCCAAATTGTCATGGTTTTCGGGGGCTTCGCCCCCTGTACCACTTTCAACACCCGACCACATCCACTTCGGGCAACCCCATATAAAATTGTACCTTGCCGTTCACTTTCTCCCCCTAGATTTCCGACTCTGGAGCAGCCACTGTAAGCCACGTTTTTACTTTCTCTGAGAAATATGAACTTGTGTTTAATTAAATTTACTGTTTTAGGAATATTTTTATTTAGTCATTTAAAACAATGCCTGAGCAACATCGAAATTATTTACATACCTATCTAATAATGGTATGGTCCGAAGTTTTTAAATTTCTTGTCTTTATGACCAAAATAAATTGTTTGGTTTTCCTCAGGTCGATTGCAGTGTTACTCTTGATCTTTCTAAGCTGGCTTAGCCGAAAAGACCAGTTGTAAAAAATAGTCGGCCATAGCATGGCATCATCGGAAGGACCAATCGCTGGAACAGCCATCTGCAGACGACAACCCACTCCGATCTCTATAATGATGTTCTGTTACCTTACAATATGCATTATCATTTCAGTTATATTTAAAGTTAATTCATCTCCGGTGTTGCCGAAACAGTCAGAAACGGTAAGTTCTGTTTAATGAATCTACATAAAATGCTAGAAATACAAATTAAGTACGTATCTGTGCTATAATCGGGGGTGGGGGAGGGTGGTGTAGAACCATATTGTCCAACAAATTGAATTAGTAATACTATCTTTTGTGGGCCTAATAACACTTTTGATTTAAGTAGGCATAAATTATTTTAGTTCTCATAACTAGGGCTTCAGTATTTTGATCTTGTTGCATTCGAAATTGAAACCGTCAGTTTATGCGTTACATCTCTACTTCAGTACCGTACCTAAAAAAGAGTCAGATTTGATAATTTACATAGGCCTTTCCTAACCTATCCTTGTTAAATTTTGTAACTGATGAGTATTACTATTGTAGAACCATAGGCTTGTCATAATTGGGAGAGGGTTGTGGGGTCATGCATCGATTTTCAGCATAGAGTATAGTGACTTTAAAAAGTTTTTTTTCCAATATCTCGAGATACAAGATATATTTATTGGTCAATCTGCACATGGTTTACATAAAATTTGGTTTGCAGATGCTTCAATAGATACCAACACATGCAAAATGCAAAAGACAAGTATCGAGACATATTGCAATACAAACGATGGAACTTAAACTACTGTACTTAAAAGGCTAACTAAGACGACAAACATATTCGAAAGACACAAATGGCAAGGAATTTTTAGGATAAATATATAACAAAGGCAAGATACATAATATTTTTACCATTCATGGATTACAGTTGAGAGGGGAAAGAGGTTTTGTGAGTTCCTGTAAGAATAGACGAATTTAGATACCCTGCAAAATGTGATTGCTACGTTTTGTGGATTAAGTTTCCCCATAGGGTGTCAAAGTTTGATTTAATTATCTGTTGGACTTTTAAAACTAATATGTTGAGTAAAACCACTGTCACCCGTCCTTTAATTATTCTTTCCGTTAGAAAGCTTTACTTAAATAGTGAGCTCAGCTGTAGCACCTGTATTGATTGGTTATCTCTTAGTCTGAGTTTTAGATCCAACCAATGCCAAATCTCTTTGGAAATTATACAGTGACAACACAAAGGTCATAATTTAAATTACATTTAACATGGCACACTGTACTTTTTATTATGATTGTTTTACCATCAAAGTGTATGTAAATACACCTGCATTTCCACACAACATGCCTTTGACGTCGTTGCGTCAGGGACGCTGATCCCGATACTTATTTAGTGGGGGAGGCAGAGGCGGAGGGGTACCTATATCCTTGGGTAAAATAACTTTTTATTGGATTATCGTAAAATAACGAATGTCAGAAATTTACCGTCTCTTGGGGTCTTGCGTTAATAACTACATTAACCGAAATTTTCGGAAATATTGAAGGTTTATTTTATGCCGATTTGGGTGCTCCGTTGACAAAGTATGGTTGTCCCCTTTTCCGTTAACCTAAGTGCAGAGAATATAGACCGTATACAATAGCCTCTTAAATTATACACTGCAAAAGCTCTGGAAGAATGATTCGCCCTTGCACTACTCCAACCCTAACTTGCTCGTCACTCTCGCGTTCTTCCTTTCCATCGTGATTATGCCTCGAATGAAACTTATGAGACACTGTCCCTTGAATCAATGTCACATTTCGTATCTTGAAAATGATACAGTTAGGCCTATGTCGTTAATTTTTGTTCACATTTTCGTCGGAAATTAGGATACTGGTGAGACAATGTTTATAGTGTTAGGGTTCACCCTTGCCACTTTTCACGTCAAACGGTAACCGCACTTGCGGAGTACTTTAAAACGAATTTCATTCCGATCAACGATAAAAAAAAAACTGCCTTCAGTTATAATTTGTACACCTTTATATCCCAAAGCAACAGGGAATGGTAGGTGATGTTAAGATTGATCCTAAAGGACTCAAACCAGACTTTCAAATTACAGTCACATTTTATATCTTCGATTCACAAAGAAGCTTTGTATCAGAACCAACGCGCTATGAATTCGTAGGTCAGACGAATGCATCGGTTCATGTGAAATACCGTAATTTACCATTTTGGGCCATGATGAGACTGGTATAAAAACAAACGGAACTGAAATACCGTGTATTAATCAAAGGTGTTAGGCAAATAAAATAGGTCCATTATGGTTAATCGTTCATAGGTAATTTTCGTAATAAATTACTGTAATGACTGGGTCGAGAATTGTTGGCATCTCATTCATTGTCGTGGTCTTTACTGCTACTATTATAGGTTGCAATACGTCTTTCGGACTACGATGAATATTCACTCGATACGGTAAATTTACAAAATCACTGAGTCTGTTCAAATAAGTTTCTGTTCCTCCACTCCGTCCCGCTTATTCTACGTGACCATAAGTGCTAAAAATACTACTACTATTACCACAACTGTTCTAACTTACCGAGCTCCACCATATAAGGTTTCAGTCAGTATGAGAGAAAGTGCCTGGGGGGTTGGATCTGCGCGTATACCTACAGGTCCATTATGGATAATGGTATGATACTCGCCTTGATAGCGAAGGTTGCAGGTTCGAATCC